AAATCTGCCGTTTTCGTTGCCAAAAATCAAAGTTTTAACCTTATGTCTCACTTTTCTAATGCCTTTGGAAATTCCTGATTTGGACTTGTGAGCTAGAAGTTATGGTCCAGTAAACAGACCCTGTCTGTCATTCAAAGTGCAAACTTCTGGTACGTTTTCCATGATTTCAACTTGTTTTGATTCGGATCTAGTTTAAGGTGTCTTCATGAGAATTGTAGGCCTTCCTCATAACTTCGAAACGGTGTCTCGCTCACCTTGATCGATATTCCTAGCCTATCTTTTGATCAAAACGGTTTGAGATGGCCGATTTGGCCGTTTCCGTTGCCGTTGTCATGAACCCTAAGTTGGTCATGAGAAGCTGGGAGTACTGCCCTGAGCTACCCATATATGACAAAGAGCTTTACGCACTTGTAAGAGTACTGGAGACCTGGCAACACTACCTCCGCCCAAGGAGTTTGTGATACACATTGATCACGAGTCCTTGAAATTTCTCAAAGGGCAACCCAAGTTGAGCAAGCACCATGCCAAATGGTAAGTTTTTATATCAACACCTTCTCCTATGTCATTAAGTACAAAACTGGCAAAACGAATGTGGTCGCTAATGCTTTATCTCGTAGGCATTCTTTACTTGCTGTTCTTGATGCCAAGTTGTTAGGGTTTGAATGCTTAAGGACATATATGCACAAACACTGACTTCGGTGATATTATGCATCTTGTATGAAGAGTCCACATGGAAAGTATTTCTTGCACAATGGATTTTTGTTTTATGTGGATAAATTGTGTGTCCTAATCTTCTATTCGTGATCTTTTGATTAGAGAGGCACACATAGTGGTGGTTCATGGGACACTTTGGTATGTGTTAAGACTCTAGCCATGTTACAAGAGCACTTTTACTGGCCTAACATGCGTCGAGATGTTGAACGCATGGTTGGTAGATGTGTCACTTGTCATAAGGCGAAGTCCAAAGCAAATCCATACGGCCTGTATACCCCATTGCCTATTCCGCACTATCCTTGGGTAGACCTGTCTATGGACTTTGTTTTAGAACCCCCTAGGTCCCCAAGGGGTAATGATTCCATCTTTGTCGTAGTTGATAGATTTTCTAAGATGGCACATTTTATCCCTTGTCACAAAACTGACGATGCATCTCATATTGCTAATTTGTTCTTCAAAGAAATAGTCCGTCTGCATGGCATGCCTAAGACCATTGTTAGTGATAGAGATGTAAGTTCTTGAGTTACTTTTGGAAACTTTGTGGTTTAAACTTGGCACTAGATTGTTATTCTCTACCACTAGTCATCCCCAAACGATGGACAAACTGAAGTTGTCAATCGCACACTTGGCACTCTACTTCGGGCTCTGATTAAAAATAATCTTAAAACTTGGGAAGAGTGCTTGCCTCATGTTGAATTTGCCTACAATCGAATGTTCACAGTGCTACACACTACTCACCTTTTGAGATTGTTTATGGCTTAACCCGCTGACCCCCTTTATTTAGTACCCTTACCTTCCTCTGAGCACACAAGCTTAGATGGGAAAAAGAAGGCTAATTTTGTGCGTAGGTTACATGAAGCCGTTCGGGCAACATTGAGAGACGTACTCAACAATACATTCAGTACACCATCGTAAGATGGTTTTTGAGCCTGGAGATTGGGTTTTGGCTACACTTGCGAAAAGGAGAGGATTTCCCAAGCAGCGACAAAGCAAGTTGTCCCTAAGAGGTGATGGACCCTTTCGAGTGCTCCAATGAGTTAATGACAACGTTTACAAATTGGAGCTACCTGGAGAGTATAATGTTAGCGCGACCTTCAATGTCGCGGATTTGAGACCGTTTCTTGACGAGGAGGATTCAGATTTGAGGGCAAATCCTTCTCAAGAGGAGGGACTAATGTGTGCATGGATTAGGGTCCACACAATGACCCGGTCCGAGTGCCATTGGGCCCAGTCACACATGCACGAGCCAAGCTCTTCAAAGAATCCCTCAAAGGTCTTGTTCGAATGGTCCAAGACCAATATGGAGTCCATAGAGATATTGAAGGCCTAGAGGAGACAAGCAAGTCATCTACACTATAATCCAAACCCATGAAGAGTCAAGTAGTCCTCCAAGTGAGTGGATCGAATAGGGCTTTAGGCCTTAATGTTTGCTTATGGTTAGATTAGCTGCTTTAGTAGAAGCATGGGCCGACCCATCTTGACACCAAGATGGCCGACTGCTCACCTTAGGGTTTTTAGGGTTTTTTTTTAGTAATCTTTAGCCTATAAAAATGCTAGCTTTGTAAGGTTTAAGGGTAGATGTTTTGTCCGTAAAACTTTGTTATTTTCGATTCTTCTTCTTGAGAGAGAATTCGAGCCTTTACTTGCTTTGGCAAGGGTTGTGAGCAATCTTGTGTCCTGTCCTATATTGTTCTACTGACCTATCCATTAGAGTAATCACCTCTATGGAGTCGTCGTTCTACCGCCTACAATCAAATCCTATCGGCCGTTTGATTCTAGGTTTCCGCAATCCAAGTGTTGGACAACCTCGCTAGATCCTTGGGCAAACGTGCTACGTGTCTCGAAACGAGTTGATCGAGAACCGTATCACGAAGAGAGCGCATGAAGAGTCGAGTGGACCCCATGTGGGGATGGTCGACTAGGGCCTAGGCATTAGTGTTAGGTTCAATTGTTTGGAGTTGGATTTGTGACAGCCCATCTCCCCCTAAGGCGAACCAAAAGCTTCGGCGGACCGCCTGCCAACTCTCATCGGGACTCACTACAACTGATACGAACGGCACCAACCATGTGATGCAACCCGTACAAATAGGAAGGATCTAGAAGGTAGGATTCACGTTGGAGACGACGAATACAGCGAATAACCTAACCCGTTGATCACGTGGTCAATAAACCTTGGTATTTGGTAGAAGACGCCACAATCTAGCGTGGTCCTAGATTGATAAGTCGATTGAATACCTAGAATGAATCTAAGATATTCAATGGATGCTTTAAAGAAGCTTTGAGAGAACTCTCTATGTAGTTTTATTAATCATAAAAAAAAGTCCATGTAACATCCGATTTGAGGCTATTTATAGCTGTGACTAAGACCTAATAAAACTGGAAAAATAACAAGGAAGATTCGACCAGCCCCTTGGACCTTCACTTGGCCAAAACTAGCCCAGCTAACTATAGACCGTAAGCTCAGCGTAGGGACTAACTACGTGCTCACATGGCCTAGCCCATTGACTCAAGGACTAACAACGATGAAAGCCCAAACCACAAGCTGGTTGGATCTCTTTATTACATTCTACTACACTGATAATGGGCCATGGGCCCTTAGCCAAGTCATGGTTAGCTAATCCTCATAGATGGCCGAAAGTAGAATAACATCTCTCGCTTCGTTGAGGCCCTCAATAGCCTTTGGCTCTCCACTGGACTCGCGGACCACACAACCAATGTTTGTAGTAGTGCGCGGCATCTAACCTCTTCGCGTGAGCTCGTGTTATAGGCCCCAATGGAACCTTCACTTGTTCCATTTGGATAGCTCCCTCGACTTCCTCATCATTCCCCTCATCTTGCTAAAGATTTGTCCTCAAATCGACCTCATCGTATGCAAGATAGAGACTTAGGTCAGCAATATTAAAGGTGGCCGAGACATTATACTGACCTGGGAGATCGAGCTTGCAGGCATTGTCATTGATGCGTGCCACAACTTGGAATGGTCCATCTTCACGGGTAGCAATTTGTTACGACGCTGGATAGGAAAACGCTCCTTGCGCAAGTGTAACCAGACCCAATCGCCTGGTTCAAACACCGCGACGCACGACCCTTGTTGGCATGCTGAGGTACTGCTGGGTCCGAGCTTCAATGTTGGCCCTCACTTGTTGGTGCAAAACTGGACAAACTCAGCCTTTTTCTTGCCATCAAGGTTAGTACGCTCAGACAAAGGCAAAGGCATCAAATCCAAGGGATCAAAGGGTTAAAATCATAAACAATTTCAAATGGTGAAAACTGAGTAGTAACTATGAACTGTACGGCGGTTATAAGCAAACTCAACATGTGGAAGACACTCCTCCCAAGTTTTGAGGTTCTTTTAATGATGGCCCTAAATAACGTAGACAATGTGCGATTAACAACCTCTGTTTGGCCATCAGTCTGGGGGTGACTGGATGTAGAAAATTGCAACTTAGTCCCCAACTTCCCCCACAAAGTCTTCTAGAAGTAAGAGAGAAAGAGAGAAACTTCACATCTCTATCAGACACAATGATCCTAGGTACACCATGCAAACGGACAACTTCCTTAAAGAAGAAATCAGCTATGTGAGTAGCATCGTCCGTCTTATGACAGGGAATAAAATGGGCCATTTTAGAAAATTGGTCAACAATGACAAAAATACTATCATGACCTCTTTTACTCATAGGTAGACCAAGCACAAAATCCATCAAAATGTCAACCCAAGGTTCTAAAAGAATAGGGAGAGGTGTATACAAACTGAAGGGTTGGAGTTTGGACTTGGCACGGTGACAGGTGATGCAGCGTGATACCACTCGCACCACATCTCGCCTCATACGTGGCCAATAGAAATGCTCCTGTAAAGCACTCAAAGTCTTGTGACACCAATGTGTCCCATCAAACCACCTCGTGAGTTTCATGGGTTAGTAACTCATAAATAGAACATGAGGGAATGCATAATTTATCATGACAATCACAGAAATCCATCATGGTTGAAGAACTTATCCTGACCCGACTTAACACAAGATGCATAGATAGCAAAAAAATCCGAGTCGGTATCATAAAGTTCCTTGATAAGATCAAATCCAAGGAGTTTAGCATCAAGTAAAGCAGTCAAGGCATATCTCCTGGATAGTGCATCGGCAACGACATTGGTCTTACCAGTTTTGTATTTGATCACATAGAGGAAGGACTCCACAAAATTGACCCACCGGACATGTCTCTTATTCAACTTTTGTTGAGACTTGAGGTGCTTTAATGCTTGTGGTCAGTGTGGATGACAAATTCCTTAGGCCTCAAGTAGTGCTGCCATGTCTCAGTGTGCGAATCAAAGTATAGAGCTCCTTGTCATAGGTGGAGTAGTTCAAGGCAGCACCATTTAACTTCTCGCTAAAGTACACGATCAGCCTTCCCTCTTGGATCAGCACGGCTCCAATTCCTATACCAGAAGCATCACACTCAACCTCAAAAGCTTTATCAAAACTAGGAAAGGACAATAAGGGTGCGTGTGTGAGCTTGTGTTTAAGGAGTTGGAACGCCTTCGCCTGAGCTTCCTCCCATTCGAACTTCACATCCTTCTTGATAATGGTGGTAAGAGGGCAGCTATAGTGCTAAAATCCTTCCCGAACCAGTGATAGAAACTCGCAAGGCCATGGAAACTCCAAACTTCACTCATGGTCTTGGGTATGGGCCACTCATTGATGCTTTGACCTTGCTCTCGTCCACTTTAATGCCCTGTGCACTAATCTTATAACCAAGGAAAACAAGCTCATTAGTGCAGAAAGTACATTTGCCAAGGTCAGCGAATAACCTCTCCCGGCGCAAAACCTCAAGGACAGCTCGTACATGTGCAACATGTTCCTCAGGACTCTTGCTGTAGATCAGAATGTTGTCAAAATAAACAACAACAAATTTACCTAAGAAAGGATGAAGCATATGATTCATAAGGCGCATAAATGTACTAGGAGCATTAGTCAAACCAAACGGCATAACTAACCATTCATACAGGCCATACTTAGTCTTGAAGGCGTCTTCCACTCGTCCCCTTCCTTCATTCGAATTTGATGGTAGCCACTCTTAAGATCGATCTTGGTGAATATGACTGCACCATACAATTCATCAAACAAATCATCTAAACGAGGTATAGGGTGATGATACTTAACTGTGATATCATTGACGGGCGCGATAGTCCATACATATCCTCCAAGTGCCCTCTTTCTTTCGAACGAGGATGACGGGAACTGCACATGGGTTCATGCTCTCTCGAGCCCAACCTTTCTCTAAGAGTTCGTCCACTTGCCTCTAGATCTCCTTAGTTTCCTCCGGGCCCATCTTGTAGGCTGGCTTGTTTGGCAAGGATGCTCCAGGCACAAAGTCAATCTGGTGTTCAATCCTTCTGAGTGGTGGAAGTCCACTTGGGATCTCGTCTGGGAAGACGTCCTCAATTCCTGCAATAAGGAGGAGATTTCAGGAGGTAAGTCAGTGAGTGCCTCATGAGAGAGTAGAATCACTTCTTTGCAGTATAAGACATAAACAACTTGCTTGGATAAAAGTAACTTGCGAACTTCCCTATTCTTTGCAAGCAAGCTTGGACGTTTGTCCAGTCGCCCAGAAGTACTAGGTATGGATGTCTTCTCGGCTGGTGCTTTAATGATTGCTTTAGAGTCGTTGGATTTCTTGGCCAACTCTCGCTCATGCTCTTGTTGCAACCGCAATTGGTCTTCATGCACCTGCTCGGTATGAGAGGCACCAGTGTCATCTTCTTGTTGTGGTGCAAGAAGGAATACTTGTTGGTGAAGCCATCATGCGTAGTCTTCTTGTCATATTGCCATGGCCATCCCAACAAAATGTGAGAAGCTTGCATGGGAACGACATCGCAAAGAACCTCGTCCTCATACTTCCCGATCCGGAAAGGCACCACCACTTGCTTGGTGACTTTGATATCGCCACTCTCATTGAGCCATTGCAAGCAGTATAGGTTGGGGTACCTCAACGTGGGTAAAGAAAGATGGTCCACCATGAGAGTACTTGCCACGTTGGTACAACTACCGGCGCCAATGATGAGGTTGCATACTCGACCCTTGACGTGACATCGTGTGTAGAAGATATTATCACGTTGGGCCTCGTCTACTCTCTTGACTTGGGTCGCGAGAGCTCGACAGGCTACTAGAGCAACACCCACTTGCTCCGTAGTGGCCTCAACCTCCATCTTGGAATCTTCACCTTCTTCAATCAATAGAGGCATGTCGGTGAACTCGTTCTCGTCGTCAGATACGACATCTCCGCTTGGTAGCACAATCGTGGTACACCTATTGGGACATTGAGAAGCAATGTGCCCAAATCCTTGGCATTTGAAGCACTTGTCGCGGCTTCGTGGCTTGGAAGAGTCGAATGAAGACCTTGGAGTTGCCTTTGGGACTGGCTTGGCTGGCTTGGTCTTAGGAGTAAACTTGGGCACCCCTGGACTAGGCCGTTCCTGCTCGAAGGTCGGATTGCCCCTCCACACAGGCGTGACCGAAAAGCTAGGGTTACGAGGGATACCCCTCCTCTTAAGCCTTCTCTCGTTCTTGGATGCCTTGTCAATCAACTCAGGCATGTCCACGTAGTTTTGCAACTCTACCAATTCGGCGATTTCAGGTCTCAAGCTGTTAAGGAATCTCGCCATGGTAGCCTCTCTATCCTCCACAATATCTACTTGGAGCATGGCGATCTCCATCTCCTTGTAGTAGTCCTCCACACTTCGGCTTCCTTGGACTAATGTTTGGAGCCGCTGATATAGTTCATGGTAGTAAAGGTTGGGTATGAACCGTTTCCTCATAGTGGTTCGTAACTCCTCCCATGTGCTAATTTGCCATTCTCTATTGCGGCGCCTGCTAGTGCGTTCCTGCTCCCACCAGACAATAGCGTAATCGGTGAATTCGAGGGTTGCTAGTTTGACCTTTTGTTCATCTATGTAGTCCTGGCACTCGAATACTATTTCGATTCGCTGTTCCCATTCCAGGTAAGCCTCTGGACTAGACTTGCCTTGGAATGAGGAAATCTTGATATTGACCCCCTTTAATCCTTCATCGGTTCTCCGGTAGTCCTGCTTGGGCCAACGGATGAAGTCATCTTCCTCACTATTAGAAGCAAACTCCTCGCGGGTGGTGCATCTCGATGGGCAGCGTTGGACCGAGCTTGAGAAAGCTATAAGCGGTCCATCCATTGGTGTAGGACGCCATGGACTCCCTAAGCATGCGTTGGAACTCCCCCATCATTGCTTGATCGCGTAACTTGGAGTCCAATTTGGATGTGTCGCTCTCCTCCGACATGATGTAGGAATCCTGCAAGAAGTTAGTAGCAAAACAAGTATAGATATGTTTCCCTCACTTACTCCCTCACGTGTATACACTCAGCTCTCGTGTATACCACTCAAAGAGTACTCTAATAACCTCACCAATACTCTCAAAAGCTCTTGATAGCTTACCTTGAAGAAATTAGAATTCCTCCCCAGGCAAACAATCAACTACCAATTTGGAGCACGTAGACGTGGCAATCCTCAATGGAATGGAGAATAATGGAATGATTGACTTGAGGGACAAAATGGAATGGGATGACACGACTCAAACGAAAGGAGTAAAAAGGGACTAAGACACTGATAGAAGAAAAGAATATACAACTCAAAAAGAGAAAATACTCTCTCTTTTTTTTTAAGGATGCAAGCTGCCTTGCTTGTTAGTAGGTCTGAAAGGGTTTCTAGAAGGCTGGCAAGGTGGCGGCTAGCTTCCTATAATGGAAGGATAGGGCCGAAAGAAAAAGGAAAGAAAAGGCTAAGAAACTCCTAAATATAGAAGTAAGTAGAGGATAAAATGTAGGAGAAAATGTTGCTAAAATGTAGGAAAAGAATCCCTAAAAATTAGGCACAAGGTGGCGGTGTTGGAAGTGTAATGTGAGTGGCTAAGGTAATCCCTAAAATCTAGGTAATGGGCTGCTAAAATGTAGGTTGTGGCGGAGAAAATTTAGGGCTGACCTTGGAAGCTCAACAATTAGGAAACCTTCACGATTAGGAAACTAATTTGGTTTTGGAAACCCACACAAGGTCACGGCTGGCCTAGGTCCTTAAATACCCAATTGGCCGTGACTTTTATCCCACAAGACAAGTTTTAATGTCGGTTTTCCTTAGGCACAATCCCACGGGCAGATTTGGCTGGCTCAAGAACACGAATCAAAAATGGACAATCAACAAGGTGACACTAACAACCCTTCTCAAGCTCCCCCCAACGGATTACCCAAGATGCTCTCAAGAAATTAACTCCAAAGCCACGCCAACCCTTTATTACCACAAGGGAGTACAAGAAGTTTTTACTAGAAGAGTGAAACAAGCTCCCAAGCCCCCAAGGGTTCAAGAATTTCAAGAAGTAGTGGACCAAAACTTCTGAATGTTGTGTTTTTTTTTTTATTAAGAATTCGGACCACTATGTAACACTTCGAATTATTGGCAATAAATCTAGAATTTGGCTTGGCGAACAATTATTGTGTTTGCTGTTTTTTTTTTAAATGGCAAAGGACAACAATGGTGGCTAGAGTTTCCTACTTTTGGAACTTGGCTGGCCGCTTCTTAACTTGTGTATGGCCAACAAAAGAAGAGCACTTAGATATCATGCATAACAAGGAAAGCCAATCAAGTTTCATGCACTTGTCAAATTACACCAAATACCAATTTATGTATGGCCGACAAAGCAAGCAAATCAGATTTCATGCAAATCAGCTTCAGCTAAAGGAAATCAAAACAGGTCACGCACTTGCAATCTTCTCCACACCCTTGGTTGTTTCCAAAACACAAGACCTATGGTTTAACTTTCTAACTACGGTTTACAACCCCAAACAGTCCACAAATCCGAATTGCAAGGAGACAAAATCTGGACAGCTCACAATGGTTTCCACCCTTGAAACAACTCCTAGTTTCGGACGAACAAGGATACACAAGGCACGGCAGCCGCTGCTTTTCCTTTTTTTTTTCTGACTCCAAGCACACTCTAAGAAACCCTAATGACCCTCACAGCTAACCCACATGGTGTGGCAGCTGCACTCTACTTCAAGGCAACTGAAGGAACCATAAACAAAATTTTGTTTTCGCAAGAAACAAGAGGGCACGATTGTGGACTAACCTGGACAGATTTGGAGACTCTTTTGGACAGAAAGTTTGACCCTCAAACACGACAACAACTTCAGGTTTATATGGACAGATTTGAAGACAACACGGTAGCAACACAAGAGAGAACAAACGACACAACACTAGACTACAAAACAGGTTTTCTTTAGACTCAAACAAGACAAATAGATTCGGATAAAGGCTAGAACAGATTAGAGACAATAACAGATAGAATTGACATAACACAAAGCAAAGACAATGACGCAAAAGAAAGGAAAGCAATGACACAAGGAAACAAGGAACAAGGGATATACGTGATACCTTCAACTAGCTCTGGTACCAGCTGATACGAACGACACCAACTGTGTGATGCAACCCGTACAGATAGGAAGGAGCTAGAAGGTAGGATTCACGTTGGAGACGACGAACGCAGCGAATAACCTAAACCCGTGATCACGTGGTCAACGAACCTCGGTATTTGGTAAAGGATGCCACAATCTAGCGCGGTCCTAGATTGATAAGTCGATTGAATACCTAATAATGAATCTAAGATATTCAATGGATGCTTCAAAGAAGTTTTGAGAGAACTCTCAATCTAATTTTATTAATCATAAAAAAAAGTCCATGTAACATCCGATTTGAGGCTATTTATAGCCGTGACTAAGACCTAATAAAACTGGAAAAATGACAAGGAAGATTCGACCAGCCCCTTGGGCCTTCACTTGGCCAAAACTAGCCCAACTAACTATAGACCGTAAGCTCAGTGTAGGGACTAACTACGTGGCCACATGGCCTAACCCATTGACTCAAGGACTAAACAACGACGAAGGCCCAAACCACAAGCTGGTTGGAGCTCTTTATTACACTCTACTACACTGATAATGGGCCATGGGCCCTTAGCCAAGTCATGGTTAGCTAATGCTCATAGATGACCGAAAGTAGAATAACATCTCTTGCTTCGTTGAGGCCCTCAATGGCCTTTGGCTCTCCACTGGCCTCTCGGCCGCACGAACAATGTTTGTAGTGCGGCATCTAACCTCTTCGCGCGAGCTCGTGTTATAGGCCCAATGGAACCTTCACTTGTTCCACTTGGATAGCTCCTCGACCTTCTCATCAACAGTCCTCAAATAAATTACTCCCAAGCGTGGAACGTACACATACATACCTTGCAAATCTCAGTAGTGTAGCAATTTCCCAAATAAGACAAAAGTCCTCAGTTCTCATATAATTACAATTATAATATCAGTCCAATATTACACAAGATAAAACTAAATTCCCACTATACAGGAGATATTTCTCCAGTCACACCAATAACGTAATACCAGTACTTCCTTTTGCCTCGAGCCCTGTGGAGGGGAAAAAACTATTGTGGGGTGAGCTGAAGTTCAGCGAGTGTCTAGTAAAATCAGTAATCAAATAAGTTTTCAAAATAGTTCATTTCAATGATGCCATGAATCAGTAATCAAATGTATATTTATTGCTCTTGTGAGCCAGTGAAATCATGGTACTTGGACTTCCAACGCTCAAATAGATATAGTAGCAATGAAACAGGAATAGGGAGCCATTAGTGCTCCAAATGAACAATAAACAGTGGTGGAGACATTGGTTCTAAGCACAAGACTTCCCAAAGAACTCATTGGAGCCAAAACATGTCATGGACCACATGCAAACATTCATGATATGAAATCGAGTAACAATGCAAGAAATAGTTCAAGAGTAACTTTGAAACAGTTTTGGAATCACTCACCAACCATGCTCATGAATCTCATCCATCATAACTCATTGTCTTGCTCAAGTCCAAACCCTAGATCACAAATATCATGTCATACAAAAGGAATTCTAAAAGCATCAAGTTCCTATCACCATTTGGCATTTTAATCACAATTGAAGCTACACTTATCCGATTGAAACGAATCTTATGGCCTTTCGAAGCCAAGATATATACCAACATTTCTTATGAAGACCTCCAAAGCCAAATCATACATTTTCACAGTTAAAAACCAAAATCTTAGAGAAAAAATGGAAACTGTCCGTAAAACAGGCCTTAAGGGCAGTCAAGGGTATTTCGATCATTTCACAAGATACAGTACTTCAATCGATCTGAAATTTTGCAGTAGATAGCTAACTCATATATCTACAACTTTCATGTTTTGTCCAACAGCTGGTTCGGTCTAAAACATGGATAAATTTGCAATCCAATTTGAGTCCAGAAACAAGGTAAAACTGAACTTACACTTCTAAACTAACCTTTGTATATAACCACAAGCACACATACGAATCATAAGATATACCACATCTAATAAGTAATATGAGCCAATTGATAGCTCCAAACCCAATCACAATTAAGCCCCAATTCAAAACCCTAAAATTGAAATTTTCCGCACAAATCTAAAATGTTTCGCAAACAACCACAACTAACCTACAAAGGCGCCATTTGACACCATATCAAGCTATCATTCCATGATCAACCAACAATTATCATATAAAATCAGAAAATTTACTAATAAATCAGAAATTTATCAAACTCTACTTAAAATCATGAAATCTTCCACAAAATAGCTTATTTAGCCAATAAAACCACTAATCTACCCTTATTAAGAACAAAGAGGAAATTTCTTAGCAACTCACCGTATAACTCAAGAAAGATAACAACTTAAAGCTTCCTCTTTCAAAACAACTCTATCAAT